AAATTATAACAACTGAAATGAGAACAAGGAAAGAGGAGATGTGCCATGGCTCTGAGAATAGCATGGAGTTCAAGGATAATCCAGACTAGGTCCAAAAGTGTGTGATTTTATTTTTTCTTTTTCTCTCAGCATTGGCCAGCAATGATGTCAACTATGAGAACAGGGGTTAAGAAAAGTGAATGTATGGAAATGGAGTACATCATAGCTGTTTCATAGATTATTGTGCTCAGATTGGGATAATGGATGGTTTCCATCCCCAATTCTGAAAGAGCTAGTACCTGAAATTACAGGAATGATAGTAAAGTTTTTCAATAAATCCTATGAGGCTGTGTATGGTATAATATGATGGGGAATTAGCAGAGGCAGCATCTAAATTTAGAAGGACAAAAACCATAATTCTACCTATTGTAGACCAGTTAGTCTTTATTGTGAGGCTTCAGAGAAAATTTGGAAGGAAAATGTTTTTACAGCATGGATCTATCAACAGTAGACTGAAGTACAACTTTCACCCATGTAAGATCATGCAAGAATTCTTCTTTGGTATGATAACTGGTTATTATATAAGTTGACATATAAGCTTATATGTGGTGCCATATGGAAAATTATTAATTATAGTGGAGAATGTGTATATTGTTATTTTACAAGCAGGCACAAGCTTAATGTGGGAAATACTGGTTGCTGTTAACTGGGCTCGCCTAGCATCTCTTGTTTAGAAGGATGGGCACACTGAGCTCATGTCTGTCTGCAAAATGTCATGTACCCACGAAGGAGATGAGGGATTAGTCAAAGGCAATAAGGAACTAGTTAGCAGGAAGGCAACAGCAAACAACAGGCAAGAACAAACAGCTTTGAAAGGAGAAACGTTAAGGTCCAAGGATTTCACTAGTGGAATTTCTCTCCAGATTCTCATCAATTGATGCTGAACCAGTTCTCTTTAATGCTGTCATTGAGAACCTTTGGCATGAACAGCAACTGTGTACCAACAAAAATTGCTTGATGACACAGAGCTGGGAGATGTTATTAATACAAAATGGAGATATTATCAATACGAAGTAAGTTCAAGCTATCTTGCAGAAAGATTGGAACGGCCTTAAGTGCTGGAAAAATAAAAGCAGTGGGGTGGGATTCAGTGGTACCAAGTGTAAGGTATCATCATTTCAGGATGAATAATAATTTCCACTGTTAGCTGTGTAATACCAGTGGGCAGGGAAAAGGCACAGATACCAGAAGGTGACTGAGCAGTCCTGTCAGGTAAGACATTTCAACTGGAGTTAGGACATCTGCTAGCAGAGTACTGATGAGAGATGGGTTTGAATTGATCAGGAGAACAGAGAGCGTGATTGCTGAGAGGTAACAGAAAAGGTTGATTGTTTAGCCTCCACAAGAAAGGAAAAATATATGCTCTCTATAAACATATGTAGGTGGAAATATCTATGCTTTCTATAAAAACATGAGAAAAAAAAATCAGTAAAAACATAAAGCTATGAAGCTTTATTACTCAAGTTCATTGAATGTTTTTTTCCTTCTGTTGGGTGTTGGAAAGTATTATAAAAGCCATCTCTCACTCGCAGGGAACCTGACAGCATAGGATTCTTACCTCTTTCAATTTAGATTAGAGTTGAGGGTTCTCAAGTTTGCCCTAGAGGAATTAGGAAAACATAAAAACTAGTTTTGCCCTCTGTTTTCCTTTGCTTAAATCTTGTATTTTTCTAGCCTTTGGGTTAACAAAACATAACATTGTTCATTTAAATATTTTGAAACAAAAACAACAGCAAAAGGATCAGTAATGAGATTTTCTTAGTTAAGATCTGGCTATTTTAACTTTGATAGAAAGCAATTAGCTTTTAGATTTAATTAGAAAATTTAAATTTTCAAAAAGTAACTTTGCTAAAATGCAAAATGGGAGAAGTGTAGAAACAAGAATTCTCTTTTGCAGGAAAGTGGGGTGGGGGAACAGAGAAGGGAGAAGGATCTATCTATGTTAAATATGAAAGTGTAGAAACTTCTGGGCAAAACAAAATTGTGAGAAAGACACCATATCCCAGTGGTCAGAATACCCTCTCAGGTTCAAACAGGAATTTCACTGTGACCCCTATACCAAAGTGGTGACCAACCTCACCTCTAAACTGGCCTTTTTAGGAAAAACCTCCACCAGAGGTACCTGACTGTAATTCTTTTTCTTCTTGTGTTCCTTCTTTACCCTACCTTCTAAAAAATGTAATTAAAACTGTTCCTTTTCTATGAGGAGTTCTGATTTCCACAGTTTGACATTTTCCAAAGGGATAATATTTTGTTAAAAAGTTCCCAAGCAGCTATTGTTATTACTAGAGGTGATCTCATGTAGGATTTTTGCCATGTGCACTATGGATGGGTTTCAATATACATTATAGGAGTCTTCCAAAGGTTTTATAGTAGTGAAGGCACAATTATTATATTTAGCAATTTAACTTTGTGATGGGCACTGTTTTCCTTTTCATCTTCTAGTGAAGAAAGACATCTCTGTTTTAGGAGGATATTTGAGTCATTTATTTGTGTTTACCACTCATCAGGCCTGTGAATGCTGGGTAATTTTGTTGCATGGCTGAATTTTTGCTGCTCTCATGCAGCTCCCTAGTATCAAACGCACTACATGCTACTGAGGAGGTTAGCAAATGTCTACTTTTCTTCCCTTCAGTTTTCATAGCTGGTTTCTGGTTGCTTTTTTTTTTTTTTTTTTTTTTTTTTGCTTTTTTTTTAATCCAAAGCACCTGATTCTGCTGTTGTTTTTACTGGTGCATACCCAGATGCAAACCCAGTCAAATCAGCGCAGTTTTCTCTGCTGAAAAACCACTATAAATAAGAGTCTTCAAACTCTAGTGCCTTCTGACTTTTGTCCTGAAAAGCAAGTGGAACATTAAGTGTATTTTTTATGATAGTTCTCCAAAGAGACTAGCCGTTAATCTCTCCGTGAGTAGGTGTGTCAGCTGCAAACATTTCCTTCCAGTCTACCATTTCAATCACACTTCACAGTACACTGAAAATTGGCAAGGATGTTAATTATTGGCCTCTAGAACAAACCACCTACTTTGATTCAAGCGTGTTTTCCAGTTTTTAAGAATGTTGTTTCACCTACAGAACAGTATAATTACAGAAAATAGCTTGGTTTGGCTAACATCCTTATGTTCCGTGAGTTCTGCTTGCAAGGCAGCGAGCAGCACTGGGCAAGAGGCTCACCTGCAGAAGATTTTAACCTCTTGCTGACAGGAGTTAGGGCTTGCCAGCATCCAGTGCATTGTTTTCAGTATCAGAAGCTCTAAACCACTGTCACTCAGTGGTTAAACATTAACACTTTCTGCTTTTAAAGCTGAAGGAACCCTCTGAATAGTAAGAAACTTTGTTTTTATTCTCCAGGGAACTTCCTGTTAAAATTTTATGAATGTCTGTTACAAGGAGCAATTACAGCAGTGGGTCCTGTACCCAGGCATTGCAAAACCCTGAGTGCAACAGGACACAATGAGCAGCATGGTGCAGAGACTGGTTGTGTAGCTGCACTTGTGCAATGTGGTGTTTAATAAAATTTGCCAGGAGTCAGCCACATATCCTGGACAGGATTGTTCAACCAGCAAAATAAATTGCCCATAGATGACTGGGAATTGACAGTAAACAGTAAAACACCTGTCTTGAAGACTTACAGTCTTAACAGACAAACAGGAAACAGAAGCAAGTGGGAGCCCTCTTTTAGGAGAGAGATTTTGAGGCATACAGACAAGAGTTGTTCACGATTATATAGCGACTTTGGCAGAGTTAGAGGCTGAACTCTGCATTTCCCTTCATGTGTTCATAGCTCCTGTAACAGGTCTTTAATTTTCTAAGAAATTTTTCTGCAACACTGTCCCGAAGAGTTGGCAGAATCCACAGTCAGCATTTCTCACACATGTTCCTCTTGGTTTGGGGCTCTACAACTTGTGCAATTAATAACTTACACCATAAATTAAAAACATTGGAAAACAGCCCAATGCTTAGGCTCATGTGTCAAAGAATTGCTGTGCAAGCCTGGTCTTATTTGTTGTTACAACAATTAATCATCCGCTGATTTAAAGGTAATTTATATGGTACCTGGGCCCTCAGGAGAGTCCTACAGTGCTATCAAAACTGGACTTTTAAAATTAATGCTGATTAAGGTATAGAGCTGTATAAAATATACATGAGTACTTATTTCTCCTACCTCTTCTTTAGCCATAAGGCCGTGTCAGGCTGGCTACCTTCCTGACTTACAAGCCACATGCTGCAATTTTCATAATGGCAGTGACTCACGAGCCCTTCGCAGCGTGGTGTGAATAAACATTGGGAGGGGGAACATCCGGGAGGGTTCACAGGTGGGAGATGACAGCAGTTGCTCAGGGATTCCCTCCCTCTACTGTAAACCAGATCCTGGGTGAGAATGCGCCCAGATCCCAAAGCAAGCCAGCAGTGCCAGTCTCAGCAGCCCCCGTGGGCTCATCGCCTGCCACTGCTCAGGGTGTGGGTTATCCAGCAGCTCTCCTGCCAGTAACATCAGGCAGTGACTCCCACCATAGGAGCTGTACATAACAGCTGGAGAGCCATATGCAGACTAAGAGTCATGCATCGGTAGTTTGCAGCCAAGTGCCTTGCTTCACTCTATATGTTGGTCAATGGTTTTGTACTATAGGAACATTATATCAATATGAAATATGTTTGCTGATAAACACTTGGCTGAACTGAAGAAGTCAAACCTTAGCCATTTAAAAAGTGTACCATATACGTGAGGGAAACCATTCAAAGCATTATTCTGCTGGGGAAAAAGAACTAGAAACAATTGTAATGCTAGAACAAGAAGGAATTTTTCATGAGAATTAAATAAGCAGTGTTACAAAACAGTATAACTTTGTATATGTAATTATAATAAAGCATGGCTGAAATGAACACACAAAGTATTGTTATGTTTTCAAAGCAATATGGATATTCTGAGTAAATTGTTTACTTTTTTTATTGTTTCACAGGCAGAATTGACAGCCTTGCAACAAGAAAAAGAGGCTGCTCTTCAACAGTGCAAAAAATTAGAAGAAGAAATCCAGACATTGCGCGTTTATTACAGGTAAAATAATTATTACTAATATAAATCAGTCACTCATAGGGGAAATTTTCTGAACTGTGTCTGACTGTGAGTGAGGAAATGGCCTTATCAAATAGGTATTTGTTGGAAATGTGAATACATCAATGAATCAAGGCCTGCATTTCTGCTTTACTGCTCACCAACCATCTCTTTGAAATAGAAATCCTTTTCTTGTAGCCTAAATTTTGTATTAGTTTCCTCTAAGAGAAGGGGAAGGTTCTGGCAGTTGATTCTCATAAAAATGAAGAAGCTGTGTTATAGCAATGTGTTCACTTAAAATCATGAGAACAAAAGAACCAGTTGACATAAGTGCTTGTGTCTTCCCTGGTTGTTTGCACATACCTAACAATCAACATAGATTTTAAAATAATAAAATCTGTAATTCTAAAAGACTGTTTTCTTTTTCAACACCGATATAATAGGTATGTTTTAATTCCTTACATTCTGTAGCAGTACATAGAATGAGAGAAATAGTCATTCTCTCATTAATTTAGGTGGGCTGCACTGAACATTCGCATGGATCAGTGGGTTTTAATCCCTAAGGAAGAGCTCTGTGTGGTCCAGTGAAGGAGTTAGGTTGTTTTATGGAGTGATGTTGGGTTACAGCTCTCATTTCATCCTGACCTCCTGTGTGAGAGGGGATACAGAGCTGCCAGCAGGTTAAAGGCAGGAGAATTGGCATCAACACAGCAGCAAATTGTGAACCTGAAGGCTGAATGTCTGTGATGAGGGATGTGGGCTGCAGAGGTAAATAATAAATGTAGTGTGAATATTATGTTCATTGGAAATAAAGAGGACTAGTTAGTTATGGCTAAAAAGCATTTGCAGTAGCAGAACTGTGTATGTTTTCAGTGTTTCAGCATTTACAAGTGAAAAATACTCGGGTTTCTAGAGGTTTTTTGAGTTTCCCCTTCTCATTAAGTTTATTAAAACCTTGGAGGGAAGTTTCAAAACCAACTTTTGTTCCTAAATCTCATAGGCATTTATTTAAAGCTTGTTAATAGTGAATAGAAACCCCAAGCAATTTGTGATTATTGCTTTTAATGAATTTGGTCAGTATTTAGTATGTGCTCAAATTATGGTATGATTTACCAAGCTAGAAGGAATTTATTATAGTGCCCTTATTACTCATTTAAACGGGTTTTGCAGAATAATTTAAAAACTGAAATGCATGTTTTGTATTGATATTTCAGAAATTAAGAGTTTGCTTGTGTTTGTCTCTGCACAGTGCAGATTTTTCATTTACTTTTGAGTTTTATTTTTAACATAGTGTATCAAGTATGAACTAACATACAGCATTTAACAAGTGTAGTAGGCAGCAGCTGCAGTTTACTCATATAAATGCTTTAAATCTCAAAAATGTTAACAGTAATGACTTGAGGGAATCATTATTAGAATGTACCATGTTATTAATTTATGGCCCTTAATTTCAACAGGCAAAATTTCACTGTAAGTTTGATGATGGCATTTACAAGATTTAGGCATAAGGTGTGGAAACATTCACCTAAATATCCCCTGAGGCAAGAACTATTGTATCGCTATTGAGTTATACAAGTTGCATACTAATTTAGAACATCAAAATTGAAAGATTTTATCTTGTACTTCACTGTCCTTAGAGGATGTTTTTCTTCTAATGCAGTCTGAAGTGGACCCACAGAGTCACAGATTGATTGAGATTGGCAGGTCATCTTGTACCACCCTCCTGCTCCAGAAGTCCACCTAGAGCAGTTGCCCAGGTCTGTGTTCAGACAGGTTTTGAATATCTCCATGAATGGAGACTCCACAACATCTCTGTATAGACACAGTGTCTCTGAGCGTACAGAGACATGGCTCAGAAAGCCAAAGGCCACCCAGAGTTAAGCCTGGTGAGGGATGTAAAAGTCAACAAGAAGACCTCATATAAGTGCATAAGTAGCAACATTTGAGGTCTCGGGCCTATCTTTTGCCTTGGTTAGAAATTAATTGCACCATTTTGAGTATTCTTATGAACTACTTAATGTTTCAGTTACAGTTTCCCTTATGTTACATGAGCATCTGCAGTCTCTGTCATCCAGTAGCGTGGCAGTACTTTGAACACATGCCAGATGAGACAAATGAAGAAAATAATACATGTCATGTGTGCATAAAGCTTTGGGGATTGTATCAGGCCAAGGGTAGGATGGCCACAATAATATTGAATGACAAAGCAGAGAGTGTTTCCCAGGTCATCCCACAGGAATGAAATTTTTTTCTTTTTTTGTATGTGAAAGTTACTTAAGGAATGCTTGTGTAGATGTCTTTTTGTTTCCTTTTACTGCTTACTCTGCTATGGTAATCTAGAGTAAGCACTGAGAGTGCTTTTCTGACAGCCTGTTTGGACTGAGGTGAAAGTTTGGTGCTTTGATCCAAGTGAGTTAGCTAGATGATGTGCTGTTCAACACCACATTTCCCTGGAGTTATTTCTCTTTTGGACTTCAAAGCTCCCCAGTGAGCAACATATAGGCTTCTGCACATGCTCCACTCCTCATATGAACTGTAGAGCTGCAGTGAGACACATTACTATGCAGGGTGCACATTTCCTTCACCTACTGTTCTCTCAACCCTTTGCCAACTTCTCCCACCTTCTGTCGCCTCTACAGTGCCAACATGACATCAACCTGGGAATTTTGACTCCATTTGGTGCCTTCTCCTCCTTCTGCTCTTAGGTCTTCCTTGGCCTTAGAAGAACTATTTTCTCATACTTCTCTTCTCTGTTTCCTTGTTTTAAATGAGATTTCTACATCATCCCTTAACTGAGGAGAAACAAATATAAGAAAAAAAAACAAATACTAGACACTAAAGCTAAATTATACAGGGGATACTTATATATGTGCTCCAGCCCCTGATCATGGCCCTTCTCTGGACTTGATGATGTTAGAGAATATAATATTCAGATGGTAGCATTTCAACCATGCTCCACAGACTGTGTGTGGATATATAATGGTGAAATTCTTGCTGTTAGACTGTTCCTCCCATTCCAGTTTTAAGGGCTATTAACTATAAATTATTTCTACCTAACACGTCAGTATTCATCCTCTTCTTGTATTCTGTGTGGTTTACAGCCACTGCAGTAGAAAGCCAGAATACAACTGCCTAAACATTGTCTCCTATTCTCTGATTGACCTCTGCTCAAACATCTCAACCTATTTGTTCTGCCATCTCTCAGTCTTTTTTAGAGATTTCTCCGATCCAGATTTCTCTCAAGGAGATGTGATGTGTAGCAGAAGATTGGACTGCTCTAGCATCCAGCCTCCCAGTCTAAATAAATGGGAACTCATTTACAGTGGGGCTGCAACCACTAGTGCAGAGTGGTGATCTCAGTCCTTCCTCTAAAGCAACAGCAGGATACCCTGAGCACCTGTCCCTGCAGTTTACCTGAGAGAACTGGTCTTTACATGGCTATTCTTTGATCTCATTTTTTTCAGTTATGGCCATTGTCTCATCTTCCTGCTCTTTTCATCCTGTCTGCTCACTGCTATTCTGGCAGTTGCTGGTTGTTTCAGTATTAGTTGCTTTAGACATAACATGGTGTAATTACAGCCATTAAGAATAATAACTGGATAATGATAGTACTGTAAACCTACTGTTCTTTTTGCAGAATTATTTTGGGGAGATCAGGGAGAAGACAGCAGTTGTGTTTTAAGTATTCTCTGTCTTTGCAGCTATGACTTCTATTTTATTCAAGTGTTTCAGACACCTGACATCAAACATAAATCTTGAGCTAATTAAATTTCCCGCTTCCAAGTAGAGGAGAGATTCTCTTTTATACCAAAGAGATGAGGCACTCGCATCTATTATGAAGTGGGAGACTTCATGTCTTCTTATGAAGGAACCTAAGGCACTGCAATTCGATACAGCCCAACATATAGAAAACAATGGCTCTGTGAGGGAACACTAAGGTTTTTGTTTGTCTTTCATTATTATAAAAAAACTCAGGTACTACCCAAACTGTATTTCTTAGTTTATTCTCTACATGTGAAGTCCTACTGATTTCTGTGGGTGATTTGGATGAGCAAGGAATGAATATTTAGCCCTTGTTTGTGGTTTGTTTTTTAAACATGCATGCTTTCTTCCTGCTTGCTCACTGAACTGAGTGCTGAAACTAGTAAAAAATATATGGGTTTTTATTTTCTTTTAAATTAGATTGGTTAAAACCACATCTTCTCAGAGCAGCCTATGGAGGTTTCAGTGAATTTTAGTCAACTCATGGGGGCCAGGAGAGCCAACACCCTGGTAATTTGGACCCAGGATTTAAAATCTGCAGGTTCAAGTTTCTCCTCTGTTATTGTGCCACTTTCCAGTGGGATGCTGCAGCCCAAAAAGAATTGGCATTGTAAGTTGGCAGTTCTTTCTCACTCTGTAGTCCTATAAGCATTTTCCCACTGGTAAGCCCCTCTGTCTTCTTTCCTTTTGTCTCCTTATTGCTTGTGCAATCACAGCGCTTAGTGTTACAGGAGATAAAAGTCAGAGCTTAGGGGCTGCTTCATGAACTGGATCAGATAGCTGAAGGGGGAAAAACAGATCAGTAAGCTGCTCTGTTTTGGCAAAGCACCTGCATGAAGTTTTACTGGTGCTACTGAGATGGCTGTATTTCACCATGTCTTGGTGCAGGTGAGCAGTGGAGGTAGAGCCCTACCTTGTTATCTTTATGTATTTCACACTTTATTGGATTTATTTTACTTCCCCCACCCCTCACACCATTCCCTAACTTCTTGTTGTCTAGCCTGGAATTGATTATTGTCTCTCCTTCTGCATTTGCTCTACTTTCTAGTAATAATAAAGTCAGAGACCAACTTCATAAATCAGTGGACAGGGAACTTTCTTGCAAGTGTGGCAGACCAGACTCACATCTGAACTCCAATTAATATTTGACCATTTGCATGGAGGAGAAGGTAGAGAGAGACTCCAGTATATACCATAAGCTTGGTATTTATGGTGCCTGTTTGGCAGGTAATGAAAAGCAA